GCCGCTGTGGTGCGTGACAGAGACGGCCCCGCCGACGTGGCCGCTGTGGTGCGTGACAGAGACGGCCCCGCCGACGTGGCCGCTGTGGTGCGTGATAGACGGCCCCGCTGACGTGGCCACGTGGTGCGTGATAAGAGATGGCCCCGCCTGCACGGAGCTCACACCCTACCAAACCTGGAGGCGGGTAGTTGACATTCCCTGGCATCTTGGCAATTCCCTCTGCTTTGGGTACAAGCAGGGCTCTTCTGGAATATTCTCCCCGTCCTTGTGAGCACAGTGGCATGCTGGCAGCGCAACTGTTTCCGAGGGCCACGCTTTCCCGGTCACTGAGACGCCAGCTGTCTCGCCTGTCGCTGCCGCGTGCTGGGTCTTTCTCTGGACTCCCATGTGACTGCCTTTATCTGTTCATCTGTCTGGACGTCAAGTTCACACCGTCTCAGTGCTGCTTTCTGACAACCCTTGCTATCCGGAAGGGCCGGTCCTGCTTCCTGAACGGCTGCCTCTGCATTTCTGCAGCTCCCGCTCCCCATATAAACATCACAGCGAGTTCTGAAGATCCACAAAAGTAACCACAAGCGGCTGGAATTTCATTTGGGTCTGTGCTGGATTTAGAAGAACGTGCAACAAGGAAGTAAACTGGCACCTCCACGAGCCATGAGCGAGGGGCATCACCGGACCTTCTGACCGCCAGCCTAAGCCCAGGCCACACTTCTGTTTCTGTGTTTTCTCTGAGTTTGGGGTAACTCTGCCTCACGGTGCCAACTCCTGACACATAAACAAGCCCTGAAATCCCAGTGGCTGGCCTCGCTACGCATTTATCTCTTGATCACATGAAGTCCAGCCACTCACAAAGAATGAGGACGGTTCTGCTGGGCTCTGATGCTCGGCCGGCCTCTCGTTGGTTCCCCGGGGCCCGCGCCCGGCCGGCAGCCAACTGAAGGGGAAGCAGGTGCCTTTATGGGTCAGCCTGGAAGAGAGCACGTGTCACGTCCAGAACCGAGTCTTGGGCCCCCCAAGCGAGGCCCGAGCTATCGTGATGTGAGAAGTGGGCCAAGGCGACTGCCGTGTTTTCCAACCATCTGTTTTGCCCTGCGTTTCCCTGGGCCTGCAGCAGGCCTCTCGGCCTCGCAGGCATCAGTGTTTCACTATTAGGGGCGATGCAGGCTCCGGACTTTTGTACACACTGTTTCCTGGATTAAGAAAACCATCTTTTGTC